GTCAGAAGAGGGCTTCGGATTCCCCTGGAACTGAAATTAAGGACGGTTTGTAGCCACCATGTGGGTGCTGGGTATCAAATCCTGGTCCCCTGCAAGAGCAATCAGTGCTCTTAACCGCTGAGCCATCTCTCCAGCCCCTGGGACAGATAGAATTTTAACTAGATATTGAAACTCCCTGAAGTCCCGATTTCTGGGGCTTCTAGATTCCAAAACCGTTCCCTTTATAAGACTATTGGATCCCCTAAGTCAGAGGTCAGCAACGTTTTCTGTAAAGGGATGCCATATTTTAGGCTTTGTAGGCCACAGGGGCATAGATACGTATGTCCCAACCAAATTTAGCTATGGACACTGAACTTGGGGTTTCATATCATTTTCATCTGTCACAAAATGGTATATCCTTGATTTTTCCCTAACCATTTAAAAGTGAAAAAAAAATTTTTTCCTAGCTCATGAGCTATATAAAACAAGCTGTGGCTGGAGTTGGCCCTCAGGTGACAGTTCGCCAACCCTGAAGTGCTTGCAGCCAAACTTAGAAGGGCTCAGCCTTTCATGGCTCATGAATTCTCATGCTAATCAGGCAGTTGGTTCTTTAGCACCCTACAGTAGCCCCGGCCTTTTGGCTTCACCTGCTCTTCAGCAGCAGCTTGACTGGAGGGGACTGCAAAGAAACTCCTCCCCTCCATCCAACCAGTGTTGAAGGCAGGAGTGTTCTAGCTGCAAGCCAGTTTGTCAACCCAGTATATTTCCATCCATTCTCTCTTCCAGGTATGTGCATCCGGGCCTTGCCAAGGCACTCAGGCAGCTACTGGCTAGGGCAAGCCTCATCACTCCTTTTCTATTTAGTTCTCAATCCCAGTGTTGCCAGAGTTCCAGAGTCAGTTTCTCCTTTATAAAGAAAGACTTTATACACAAGCAAAGCTTCAACAAGGCCAGCCAAAGGTGAAGTTCTGGAGAAAAAGAGTTGTAAATTGGGCTTGAGGCAAGGATTACAGGAGGAAGGAGAGAGCAGAGCAGTGGTCCAGATGGACACAGGGGAGTAAGCTTGCAGGCAGACAACCCCCAAAGGGTGAGTTTCGACTAACATGGTCCATATGAAGGAAGGAATAATTCCCAGGAATTGATTGAAAGGTTATTACTAGTGGGTGGCATGCATGCCTTAGAGAACCCCAATTCAGAGCAGCCTGACATAAACTAGGTATGGTGGTGCATGCCGGTAATCCCAGCACTTGGAAGTAGAGATGGGGTCAGAAGCTGAAGGTCATCTTCAGCTACACAAAGAGTTTGAGGCTAGCCTAGGAGACATGAGACCCCGTCTCAAAACACAAACAAGGACCAGGTGAGGTGGTGCATGTCTTTAAGCCTAGCATTCAGGAGGCAAAGTAAGTTCAGGGCCAGCCTGGTCTACATAGCAAGTTCCAGACTATCTAGGGCTACACAGTAAGGCTCTGTCTCTAAATCAAACAACTCAACCAACTCAAAGCAGCCTAATTAGATGAACAGTTGAGGGTAAACCCAGATGCCTCAGCTCCCAGCTCTCATTTCTAACTCAGCCCAATTCATTCAGTTGACAAACACCAATTCCCGCAAGAACCAGACATGTTTAGCTTGGGAAAAGCTCCCAGGGTAAGAGGAGCGAGGGTACCCTGTTCTAATGTGGAGTAGAAGAAAGAACACGCATGTGCATGTACACAGACAAGCACACACAACTGCTCTCTAGAGTGTTCAGTGTCTCAGGAATGTGAACATGTTCCAGCCCGGGAGAAGCAGTGGGGCTGGGGGTCAAGTGGCCATGGCAGAAGTGCTGTGGAAGAGGAGGAACTGAGCCAAGACTCAAAGGAAGGTGGCATCTGGACCTGTGAGACATTGGGGAAGGGCAGGCTGTCCAAGATGTGACTGTGAGAAGGGGTGGCACAGGGATAAGGGGCAGACAAGGGCAAGGAGCAGAGCATGCTTCCAGTGGAGGTTCTGACAAAAGGAGCCTGTCTCCTTCCTGCCACTTCCTCTCCTTCCACCTAACTGCAGGAGCCCAGTCTCCTTCCACTCCTACTTCCAAAGCAGGCCCTTGCCCTGTGAGAACCACTGGAGTGTGGAGGTATAGAATAGGCTAGAAAGGGACAATCTGCCCAGGAGAGCCTGGAGTTCTGGGTCTGGACATTGTACTTCAATGAGCAATTACTGCCCCACCCAAGGGTCCCCTGTGGGGAGGGGATGAGGTCTGCTTTGCAGACAAAAGGCAGGGGAGTTGGTGAAGCCCCCTGTGACCTCTCATTCAGGTTACCTCCAATTAGAGTGGGCTGCTTCACCCACAATTACTGGCAGAGAGCAAAGGTCTGGAGGAGGTCCTAACCTCATAGCCCCCTGCTGTTGCTGAAGGCAAGTTGCATTTGCAAGTTGGGCATGGTGGCACACACCTGTAATCCCAACACTTGGGAGGTAGAGGCAGGAAGATCATGAGTTCAAGGCCAGCCTCAGTTATATATTGAGTTCTAAGCCAGACTGGGCTATATAAGACCATGTCTCAAAAATAATAGTAATAATAACAGAGCTTTAAAAATAATAAACATCATTTGCTAATCAAGATTCAACAAATAGTCCATTTTCTTTCCCATCTTTCAAATAAACCCATCTAGGAGTAACTGCACCCACCAGCACAAATGTGTCAACTCCCCAGAAGTGGAAAAAATGGCAAGTTGTCCAGGGTCCACTGTCTTCTTAGCAAGCGACCCTTCCAGTCTGAACAAGGAAACTATTCAGCCTGGCTGAAGGAGGCAGGGAAGACACTTTCTGCTCTCTCCCTTCCCTGGCCAGAACAGGACATGGCTTTGGATCTAGGAGTTGATAAAGGCCCATTGTGACAGCTTCAGAAACCCAGGGGCCATCAGGGGGCTCTGGGGCTAAGAAGCCACTTAACAGCCCTTGAACATTTGTGAAAAGAATTACTAGGCGGAAGTCAATGCAAAGTGAGGCCCCAAGGCTGCTACTGGGATGGGCCTCTGCCATCCATGACAGGAAGGCTGACAGCAAAGCCAGCAGGGGCCTGGCCTGCCTGCCACCCCATGGGCTGACCTGAGGCAGGAGGAACCCACACACTACCAAGCAGGCAGCTTTTCAGTTCAGGGCTCCTGGACACCTGGAGCATGAAACCCAATCTCTCACCAAATACAGGAAACACAGGGGCTCCTTAAAAGGGCCTGAGGGAGAGAGAGGAGCCTCCTGCCTCCTCCCCCCAAAGGGTGTCCAAAGTAATAAATGGCAGGAAAGGAGGAGGACTGCAGAATCCATGCTGGTCTGGAACTTATTTAGGAATCATGCTGTCTCTGTTGGTTTTGAATGCACTTTGGATCAGGTACCTCATCCCTTGCAGGCCTCCCCAATCTTACAGCAAACACACAAGAAGAGATAGGAGTTGAGAGATTGCAACAAGCACCACGGGGAAGGCTAGATGGTCTAGGCTTCGGTGGCAGCTCTGAGGATCCCGTTTTGCCTGCTCCTGGGGAGATGAGACCAGATTCTGCAGAGGCCAGGGGAAAGGTGCATGAAGGGTGCAGTGTTGGAAGAATTTGGTCCTTAGCTCCACCCCAAGTATCTGCACAGTCATTTATCCCAGCTGTCCAGCCCTGGGCCCTGTGGGAGAGGAAACACAGGGTCTAGTTAGACAGCAGCCTGGAGCCTTCCTAACAGCCCCTCCGCAAGACCAGGTGGTGAGCTGGATAGAAGCAGAGGGGAGAGCGCAAGGAGTGTACATGCTTTGTGCAGTTTCCACCTTGTTCCTGACGCGAGGTACGTGGTTGGTACGGTTCACTTGTCAATCCTAGGTCAGCTCTCCCTCCCCATGATTCAAAATGTATTTGGTCTCCCTGATGCCAAGGTATTGCCAACTCCACCAGTCAAAGCAGAGCGGAATGACCCACTGCAGTGAAACTCAAGCCATCTGATGTATAAAAACCAAAGTGAAGGATGGGCCTGGGTATTTGATGCCAAATGCTTCCCTCCTGCCTGGGGAATGTTGCTGACAGTTGGTACGTAGGTCAACCCTGTTTGTGGTAGTACCAAAATACAGAGAAAAGTTAACCTCCTCTTCCTCTTTCCTCACCTCCTATGAACCCATCACCTCATGATAAAAGTCACCTAGGGTTGGGTTTCAAGGTTCACCTCAGGTTGGGGTGGGATCCACAACACAGCACTACTCATTTTCTGCTGTGCTGGATACTCTTCCCCATCTGGTAATACACACACGCACACATGCAAACTTCCTGGACACTCTGTTCTGATTCCCTTGGCTCCCACAAACACAAAACAAACCCCGAAAGCAGCTGGAAGGTCTGGGTGTCCTTTGACAGCAGCTTACATATTTGCTTTCTTCCCAAGATTGCATCCTTCAGAGCACTGGCACAGCCTTCAGAAGGGCAGTCTCTGAGCGAGGGACGGGGAAGGCAGGATGCACACTTCCTTGGCAGGTGTACACAGCCCTGACAGGATGCAATCCTTCAAGTTGGAATCCCATTGGGTATTTGAGAGGGACCAAGGAGGGGGATGGAGAGGAAGTCTTCAACAGGACTCACATCTCAGTCCAGGTTTCTAGTGCTATCTCAGGCCATTCCAGTTTAAGGACCCTGGTTGGGGGCGGGTAGCAAAATTGGGCCCACCCACCTTGACAGGGAGATGCTTCACTCTTTACCCGGCTTGCACACACCTGCTTCCGCTGGTCAAAGAATGGGCCTTATGGTTAAGATAGACCACTTCCTTTCTGGACACCCCCCCCCCGACGGCCCCCAGCTGCATCTGTTCAGGTTTAAATGGCTGGAAAAACTAAGGGCTGCCTTCTTGGTCCAGCTGTGCACGCCACTGTCCTCAAATTTTCAGCTGCACTCCCTGTCCATCAAGTACTACCCTGCCTTTCTTTTGTCGGTTGCCAGCGCACCCCAAAGAACTTGGTCAGTAGGCACTTTGCAATCCTGGGTGGGAATTAGGTAAAAAAGTAGAACAATGAAAAAGTTTCATTTGATAATTAGAGCTCTGAAGTGATTTTGCTTTTTATTTTCTTCACTTTAAGCCAATCATGAAATTTCACAGTGATTTCTGGGGTGGGGGCAGAAATAAGGCGGTGTTCAGAATGACTGGGGCTGTGAGGCAGCCATCGATGGAGGTGGCCTGAGGAGGTGGAGGCAGGGCAGGCCTCACTGGGGCAGTTGGAGGAGCACAGACTGCCCGGCTGGCAGGTAGGTGATGTTTCGAGAACGAGAGAGTTGGTAGGCAATGTCCTCGGCAGCTTCCAGCTTGCGCAGCTCAATCAGGCCATCGCCTGCAGTGGCCAGGGAGTTGGCGATCAGTTCAGCTGCCTTAGAATCACCCTCGGCAGAGATGATGGCTGCCTTCTTCTGCTGCTCAGCCTAATCGAGAGGAGATGAAGAGAGCCAGAGATCACACCTCAGGGCACTGTGCAGTCTCACTAGGACTGGTCAGGTGCCCTCACAGGGTCCTCAAGGCACTCTGGGAGCTTCCTTCCCTCATGAAGAAGTGAGCACTGCCTACCCAATCCTCCTTCCTTTAATGCCCACTTCTCATCCTTAAAGGATATGTCTTTTGGCTGTACAGACATATCCTATTTCAAAGTTCTCATTAACATCACTATGCAATGATGCAGCCACCTTTACTCTGATCCAAGGCCACGGAATACAGAAAAAGAAAGGTGCAATCAATCCCAGGGGTCATCTTTCCCTGCAGCTCCAAGTCAAAATGACTTCCATCAAAGCCAGGAGAGCCAAGTATGGTGCTGCACACTTGTACTCTTAGCACTCAGGAGGCAGAGGCAGAAGGACCATTGCAAATTCAAGGTCTAGTCTATATAGCAAGTTTCAGGTCAGCCAGGGCTACAGAGTGATACCCTATATTAAAAACTCAAACTAAAAATTCCAACAGTTGGGCTAGGGGTATAGCTCAGAGTTAACAGCACTCCCCTAGCTTCCAGGAAGCCCTGGGCTTGAGCCTTAGCACCCCAAGCAAGCAAGCAAACTATAAAGTAGAGCTCTAAAAGAGGAGCATGTTCCTGTGACTCTCCCTGGAGCTACCTGTGAAAGAGGCAGACTCCAGATCAAACACCCAAATGTCCATGGCTAACCCTATGCAGCACCAACAGGATACTATCTATCAGGACATGTGACTTTCAGAGCACAGGAGGAGAGTTTAGTATTGAGACTCAATCAATACACAACCCTCCCTCCCTCCCTTTCTTTATTTTGGTGCTGGGAAGAATTCATTGTCTCATACATGCTAGGTAAGCATTCTGCCACTGAGCTACATCTTAGCCAACACACAATTCTGCAAAGCTAAGCTGTATGTTCAACAAATGTTTTCTATATACCCAGCATCACTAGGCAGGATCTGAAGGCATGGCAGGCAAAGCAAAACAAGTCCCTGCCCACTCAGAGCTTAAGCTCCCCACAATTAAATCCCTTTTCTAGATTCTAAGGACCAAACAGCCTTGGATTTGGAAATCTAGTAGGGAAGAGGCAGACAGCAGATACCAGAAAGACCAGGCTGCTGTGTAGATATACTGTGTTCCATCACTCTCTGGCACATATGGATGGATTTAGCAACAGAAAAAAAAAAAAAAAAACAACCAAACAACTCAGTACGATAGCACATCTGGCACGTTTGATCTTTGCTATCAGCTTTCACTATGTAACTGTGGCTTACAATGACTTGGTGAAGCTGAAAATATCCCGGGAGTTATGTTTTTATTTGTAGGAGAGGGTTTTTGATCTTGGGCAAGTAGGAAAAAAATGACTCTCCAGTGATTAGGAACATAACTTCACATATCCCTGACTAGCCCCCAAAGACTCTGGAACCAATTGCAGGAGTAAGAGTCTCTCAATCCTCTTCTGATTATCCCAGAAGAGATGACAGATGATGCATTTCCAGGCCACCCAGCAGAAGCGGAAGCTGAACACAGGAGAGAAGAAAGAGTGCTCCTTCCATCTGGCTGAATGCTCACCTTTTCCACCACAAATCTGGCCCTCTCTGCTTCCTGCTGAGCCACCTGCTTGGCTTCCACAGCTTCTGTGAACTCCTTCCCAAAGGTCAGATGTGTCTAAGGGGAGAGAATGAGCACAAGCTGAGGCAGTATAATTGCTTAGACAGCATGGCTAGGAGGCCTCCCCGAGCCACTCGAAGGACGAGTCCAGGAATGGCTTTAGCAGCTGGAGGCACTGGGAGACACTCTTGCATCTTTATCCCTTCGTTCACACCTCAGGATTCTTGGCGGTCCGTGCCGTGCCTACACAGAATTCTTGTTGATCCATGAAGAAAATGGCACCCAGGGCTTTTGATGGGGTCCCTGGCACTAGAAGGTATCTACTTAATCAATCACCTCCCTAGAGGAGACTTGTGGGTTCCAAGACCCCCACTACTGACTACTTCTCTTCCAGTGTCCTTTGATGCCCTGTTCCAAGACCCAGGAGAGGCCAGATGGAAAACTGAGCCCCTGAGAGCAGGGGATGCAGCTGGTTCCCAGAGATGCAACAGCTTGACGCTCTCTGCTTATGGATTAACCAGTCCGCTCCCTTCTCACAGCATCTCTATCCCTAAACGGAAGACAGGGAAGTGGAGTGTGAATCATGGCATTCCCAACATGTTAAGTAGTTCTGGTAAAGGGTTTACAAGAAAGAGAAGGCAGGTAAAGCTGTTGGCCAGGGTGAGGGTTTAAGTTTGATTATCCACAGACCTTCCCTAATCACATAAATAACTGGGACTTGGCTGAATGAATGTCTCAGTGCTCCCAAGGCCTAGCCCACAGCAATGTACTTCATCCAACTTTTTATTGAAAAAGAAGGCATGAAGTAAAGAGCATTGTTTTGTTATCAAATGTGATTTGCTTCATTTCCTCCCCCACCTTCTCAACTCTGCTTTTTAAAAATATAAGCAGCATTAACGTTTAGCAAAGAAAATTCTGGTCTCATGTCTTCTAGTTCTTAGCACTACACTCCTAAGTTTTTTTGTTTTATTTATTTGGGTCTTTTTGAGACAGGGTCTCCCTGCAGCCCCAGCTGTCCTGGATTCACTATGGAGACCAGGCTGGCCTTCCGAGTGCTGGGATTAAAGGCGTGTGCCACCATACCCAGCCTGTTTTATTTATTTATTTTTTGAGACAGGGTCTTACCCTGTAGCCCAAGCTACCCTAGAACTCATGGCAATCCTCCTGCCTCAGCCTCACAAATGCTGAGAGTTCAGATTTGCCAATATGCCCAGCTAAGTCTTAAACCACAGCTACTCTACTCTGATCCATTTCTGGACTCTTGCTCAGAGTCTGGATACAAAAATACAATCTTGAGAAATGAAAAGTGAAATGTATAATTAAGGAATAAAATTTCTTTCTGATGGACCAGCTGAGGGCAGCAAATTCCCCAGGAAATCTCATTTTCTTCTCATGCCTCTTAAATATGGCTTATTGTGGTCAGCCCACATTTCCCTAGGATGGAGTATGTGGTCAGAATCTAGTAAAATGCCAAGTTTTCTCTTAGGTTTGCACTCTGCATATTCTCACAGCCAAGGGGCTTGAGTTAACAGTAAGTGGGGAAGAGCCTGGGGTAAGGCTTTCCACAGAGGAGTCAAAGGCTGTATGCAGCCTGGCATGCTGCCAGTAGAGGGGGCCACATGCCCTTCCCCTAGGAGCAATAGAGCAAGGTGGAGGCAGCCTGGAGGGGAGCAGGGGCTATTTAGAGAATAACTGTTTGAACAGCTGCACAGATGCTGAGGGCAAGCCCTGCCTTTCCCTGGCCAGGCACAGGCGAGCTGAACAGGAAGCACTCTACCTCAATACCCGAACTAATCACTCCAAATGACTTTTCCCAGACAATCTAGAAATAGGATTCCTTCCCCTCACCCCCTCAATCTGAAATGCTATACTGCCTGTATTGCTTTCTGTCCAAGTTATGACACCCAGTGTCACATAAATACAGACTATATAATGTCTCAAGAGGCTTGCTTACACCTGGAGATGTCTCCTGTTCCTCTATAGCAGGCCTTGAGGGGAACAGAATCACTCATTTGTACTCTATCACTTTTCACTGTGGGCTCCCAGAACTTAGTTCACTAAGCTTCAGACCCTAAGTGTTGGGACTCCCCAAGAATCAGCCTGGAAGGTCTGCTGTAGGGAGACCTTGCTGATCCTTGGCCTCTATCAGGCAGAAGTCTTTCCATGTGTCCAAAAGGGCCAGTAGGAAATCACTTTCTGAGAAGCTTTGGAAATAGTTTGGTGGTTAGGGACCATCCGGGGCAACCAGAGATCCTAAGAAAAATGTGTGTGGCAAATGGGAGGTAAAGAATGCTCAGATGAAAATAGACCCAAGAAGACAGCCTCATGTATCAAGACATTTCCATGTTTTCCAGCCTCACATGTAGGAAAGTGGGACATAGGACCTGATTGTGACTGGTCAGAAATGGAGCTAGGCACTTAAGAAAATCAGCCTTCCTTTTCCCAAGGATCTTACCAGGGAAACGTCATCCAGGATGAGCCCAAAGGTTGCTGCTCGTTCTGTGAGGTCATCGCTCACCTGTCTGGACACCAGCTCTCTTTGGGTGATCAGTTCTCCAGCATCAAAGCGAGCCTGGTCCCAAAGGGATGGGCAGAAAGCAGGTCAGGCTAATGAGGAAGGAGAAAAGAACAGCACACCAACAGCTATAACCTACCCAACCCCCAACCAAGCTCTCCTTGCCACCTAGCGAACTCTAGGGCTATGCCCTGGGCTGGAAGCCAAGGGTCGTATCTACTCACCACCACCGACTTGAGGATCTCTGTGGTGATAGAGGGCAGTACCCGCTCATCATAGTCCTCTCCGATGCTGGTATAGATCCGAGGAAGCTGGCTTGCAACAGGCCGGAAGAGGATGCGTAATGTGATGTTGACGTTCTGCAAATCTTAGGGTAGGGAACACAGTGGAGTTAAGTAAAAGCCATGGGTGGAGTTTTCTATGACCTCTCCTACACACACAGAGGACAAGCAGCAGCCACATCTGGTTCCCTGGCAGAGGGTCCAGAGTACTCAGCACCGCAGAGTGCGTGCTGAAGGGTTCAGGATGACACTAGCCTTTCATTACATCCCAAATGGTCTCTGACATAAGCAATTCATATGATGTGACTAAAGGGTGACATGCCATGTTCAAAACAGTGAATATTTTAAGACAACACACAAGTCAATGCCAAGAATTCTAGGGTAAGGCCTTGCCAAGGCCTGGTATGTGTGCACAAGTCAGGAGCCTCAGGTTACTGTGGGTCTGTTGGAAAAGGTACTGACAAGGGATGCACCGACCTGGGCTGTGGTCCCACCCTGCTGGTCACTAATGATGCAGCCTGATGAAGCCTTAGCCAAACCGAGCTTATTCACCTGTGAGAATGGGGAGGAACCAGTAATGACAGGAAAACTGAAGGAGAAATCAGATATGAGAGCACCGTTGCATGTGTAACAGACCTAAGGGATAAGTTATCAGACATCCGCAGCCCACTTCTCAATAGCTGAAAGAAGGCAGCACATATCACGGTACTCCAATCCATGAGTGGTTGTGGTAAAGGGTTTAAACAAAGGTAGGTAAGCTGCTGGTGGGGTGAGGGTTTAAAAGGCTATTACTCAGGCATAACCAAGACTCAAGGAGAGAATCAGTCCTTCCCCTGGACAACTCAGGCCCACGTAGAACTAACATACAGCCACACGGTACTGAGTTACCAACACTACAAACCAAATGCCCATGAGCTGGAGTCTTCACCTGGCCAACCAAGAGAGCTGGGAAATGCATGAATGCACTCAAGCCTCTGGTGTCTGGAGACTCCAGTTCCAAGTTTAACAAGTATATAATGCAGGTACATACTACATCCTTAGAACACATGTGAGACAGTACAGAAAGGAAGTCCAGAGATGGGACGTTTCAAAGCAGGCTTTGAAGTTAAGCCTTATTTTCTCTATTACTCCCACCCCACCTTTTATTTTCTCTTTGCAGCAGGCAAGCCAATCCCAACACAGGAGCCAACTGCAAAGAGGCGCAGCAGACTTCCCACTTCCCCCTCCTCTCTCCTTTGCCCTAACCTCACTCTCCGCATCAGGAAGAGCTGGCAGATCTCTGTGCTCCACTACACCCCACATGGCCTTTATAATTGCTTGTTGGAATGTCTGCCTTCCTGAGTGGACCCAGATCCTAAGAGCTCTCTTTTTAAGTCATCTTGGCATTCCAGCCTACAACCCAACATCAAGCCTGGAACAACCACAAGAAGCAAACATCTGCTGAGGAACAGCACTAAGGGCATCCAGTGTTGTTAACACAACATACCAAGTGCATACGATCCCTACTCTTCACCTGTAGAAACATCCTCCTGAGGCACACCGGCAGTCCCATTTGCTGCCTGCACCCTCTCTGACTGGTGAGGGGAATAGTAACAGTTGGCCATTCCAGGATGACTGGAAACCAATCGGAGTATCTCAGGCACAGGGCTACGTGGCTCAGCTTATGAGAGAGCAATGTAAGGTCTGCCTTGCTGGAGCAGAGGCCATCATGGAAAGCAAGGTAAAGGACAAGCTGTCAGCCACAAGGGCAAACAGCCATCTAGAGCCTGCTTTGGATGGCCATTCTAGGGAAAGAGAGCTGACGGGAAGGGCCAACAATGACAGGAAAAGGTGCTTGTATCTGTAATTTCTATTTTTCTCTTTCCCTTCCTGCTTCCTCTCTCTGAGACTGGGTGTCACTCTGAGCCCTGACTGGTATAGGACTCACAGAGATCTACCTGCCCCTGCCTACTAAGTGCTAGGATTAAAGGTAGTGCACCACCATACCTGCCCTTACTAATTTAATACACATGTGTGTATGTGTCATATGCATGCAAGTGCCTATGGAGGTCAGATTCCCAGGAGCTGCAGTTATAGGCAGTATAAACCTGGGAACGTACTCTGGAAGAGCAGCCAGTGCTCTTAACCCCTGAGCCATCTCTCTAGTCGCAAAAGGCACATAGATCTCTTCAAAGTTAGCCCACTATGTAACTCTTGAGGTAAACCTTTGTATGCATCTCTGAATTTATCCTGCTGTCTGTGTTTACCTTAAGTATAGATCTCAGGCTATGAAGCCATATTCAGTGCTCCAGGACAATCATAGTGGGAATTTTTTCAGACAATCTTTAGAATTACATTTATTTATTTTATATGCAGGTGTTTATGTGTATAAGTGTATCGTGGTGTGCACATGGAGGTCAGGGGACAACTTTCAGGTGGTGGTTATCTCCTTCTACCATGTAGGTTCTGGGGACCAAATTCAGGTCATCGGACTTGGTGGCAGGAGCTTATCTACCGAGTCATCTTAGCAGCCTGGGATTCTTCTTAAAAAAATATTTTATGCTGGGCGTGGTGGTACATGCCTTTAATCCCAGCATTTGGGAAGCGGAGGCAGAGGGTTCTCTAATGAGTTCAAGGCCAGACTGGTCTACATAGTGAAGTTCCAGTTCCAGGTCAGCTGGGGCTACAGGGAGACCCTGTCTCAAAAAGACATAT